CTGTCCCTCTCCCGCGGAGGATCTTCCGGAACATGACCCTGGTGACCTGCATCTTCTGGATTTGTGCCGGGGTGCGCGGGATGCAGGGCCTCTCTGGTGCTTGGCATCCACGCGGGCATCGGAATGATCGGCAGGCATGGGAGTTCAGCACTGTGCTGGTACCAGAGCTCATCGACATGGGCTTGGCCTTCGAGGCATGGGCATGCGAGAATCTCGATACCACTCACTCGCCGTGGTTTCCACCTGTGCATTGGTTGCAGGATGAGTTCGAGGCACAGAACAAGCATTCCACGCAGTGCCACGGCAGCAACGCCCATGCCCAACAGCTGCCCTCGCTATCAGATCCATCCAAGGTTGAATCTGGAGCATGTCCGCCTCCAGCCTGTTGATGCAGTAGGCATCCGACACGATCATGAACGAAAGTTGGCGGAGTCTCTTCTTGTCAGGTGTCTGTTCACACGTGCCAGAGACAGCATAGATAAAAGTGTCCGGGTGGTGTTTCCTGGTAAGTGGGCGTGACTCTGTTGCTCGCTGGTCAGCTCTCGCCGGGGAGCACCGAGCTTCTCTAATGGCGCTTCGCTGGACACTCAGTCAACAACAACGTCCAGTTTCGAGACGCTGTGAAGCCTACCGCCGTGCGATGCAGACTTCCTGAGGCAATGCTGTCAAGAACGCCCACTATGAAGCGGTGAACACCACATGGCCCTATCCTGGCATTAGGCGGATCCCCACATCGGGAAAGCTCGACGTTAGAATGTATCGTGGAGCTGCTTTCAGGCCCACAGGTCTGTCTTGCGACTCGCATGGGCGACACCTGCTTGCCCTGAGCTCATCCGGCAGTGTCCCATGATTCACCAGGATGCACTTGAAGCTGTCGCATCCTTGCCAGGTCACAGATGGCTTGTCTGCTTTCGTGGCTTTGGTCGAAGAGGAAAAGGTCGGAGAGTCGGTCGGATTCGTAGTTCGTGTGGGAAAGACGAAAGACGGGGAACTGTCGAGGCAGCAACTGCTCAGGATGGCATGAGGCCATCGGGAAATGCGTGCTGCGTGCTCTAGGGGCTCTATAGGGTGCTGTAGCGACCCAGCAGACTTTGTATTTAGCTTTCAGAAGGCTGCGGCAGCCCGCGCCTCTGGCCCGCGCGGAGTTCAAGCAGGCATGTCACGGCTTGTTGTAGATGCACCGCAAGCAACTGCTGTGAAACTGGTACGTGTCCTAGCGGCAGGTCGACTCTTGCGCAGCCCTCCTGGGGCAGCAGCTCCAGGATATGTCAGACACTTCGTTGGACAACACTACTCACTCACGACGTGCAGTAAGTGTGCACATCAGGCAAGTTCAAGCTACTTTGTGTAAGGTAATATTCTATTTGGAGCAATTCTTGGTCTTGCGTGTGCAACCACGAAATGCAACCCACGTTGGAAAGTGTGAAGGCTGTGAAGGCCTGTGACAATGGGAGTTTGATTCAAGTACTGGGCTGGCTTGTCCTACCACAAATGTGCCATCCTCCCCAAAGTCAGTGACAACCCCGCTGCATCCCTTCATGACTTCGGTACGTGCCTGCAGGACACGGCCCTGTCCTGTGCGGACAACTCCACCGCAAGCTGCGAGGCTTCTTCCTAGGTCCTAGGTCCTAGGCACTTCCGTAAGCTCCTGACCGATGACGATCCAACCTCTAGCGCACGTGCACGCTCGCATGCATCCGGCAAGCTTCTACTTCCTTGGATTGCTCTTATCAGAGCCTATCCCCGCTCGCAGGCCATGGTGTTGCACCAGCAGGGCCAGCGCGTCGCGTCTTGCCACCTTTCGGGACATGGAGGCCGCCGTTTTGCGACATTGCTGTCAGCAAGTGGCACAAGACACTTTTTTGCGGTTACTAGTCGGTCGCTTCAAGTTGCTTCTGTTGACAGTAATGTCACCATCAGGACGACACAAGGACGAGGAGTAGGAAGAGCAGCAGGAGCAGGAGCACGGACACAATGGCCGCATGCCCCTGCGACAGCACAGCACAACACAGAATCGCAGGATCATCCAAAGAACACAGACATTAGAGGAATGCCCATTCGATCACCCACCGGCCCAACAGCATCATGAGGCGCCGGGCCGGAACCGGAGCCCGTCCTCAACCCTGCTGGAATCAGCTTCGGCAAGAGTGATAGAAATGGCAGTGGGAGTGGCAATAATAGTGATAGTACTGACATGGATTGCACCTTCAGTCAGCAGTGTATGTAGATGACGAGTAGCCGTAGCCGGCTCTGGCAGACTTGGGGGCGGTGGTAGTATTAGTAGTGCTAGTGGGAGCAAGAGGGGTAAAGGGGTAGGTAAAGTCTTAGTGGTACGGGTAGTGGCAGCGGTCGCGGTCGACGTCAACATGGTTAGGCCATGGATGCTGTGCACTAAAAAACGCATGACAGAGAAAGTTGCGGGCAAACGTGCAAACGTGGGGGGAGTCTAGTTCTAGTACGACGACGACGACTACAACTGATAATGATGACAATGACAATAACAGCAAAAAATGACTATAATACTAACAATATTTCTGGTACGAGTAGACGCAGCTAATCCTCAGTGTTTCAGTCAATCTTAAGTCGCGTCCAACAGTGTCGCAGTCGGCTCACGCTTGATCTCTGAGTGCAGAGTGCTGCTTGCAGCGTGTCGCCGACATGGGAGCGTCGGATTATTTTCGATGTGTCGCTGCCGTGATACAGCGTGCAAGTTGTAGGGTCGAGCGGTGCTCCCGACATGGGATGAGCCGAACTCTTGCTCAACTGCTTCGTCTGGTAGTGGCTAGGCTTTTGGGTCACACTCCTCAGCTCATTCCCCAGTGCAAGAGGCGCTGGGCTTGGGGTTCGCATTCGTTGTTCCGTGTCTCCATTCGGATCACGGTTGGCATCATCGTTGAAACCTTGCAGTTGTTGTTGGAAGACTCCTCCTTTGAACCTCCGTTGGTGTTGCCTTTTGACTGCAGCACGCCGGCTGTATCGTTTCTCTCGGGCACCCAGAGGGCAACCGCCCCTTTCCTCTGCCATGTACGTCTGTGTCTCTCTCGAGCACCCAGTTACACCTTTACTCTGCGGTGGTGCTGCCGCTGATTCACGATCATTGACCACTGCCACGTGAGTCACCTTTGTGACACAGTAGCTTGACAGGACACTGTGTGCCATTGTTGAATCCTATGGAGCCGCTAGGCATCCGTCGAAACCTGCTGCCACGACACCTGATTCGGCACCGACCAAGACACAAATCCCTTCACTGACCAAGGTTGAAACTCGGACTAGAGATTCATTACATACCAAGACATGCGCGGATTCTCCTGGCCAAGACATCGACAGCAACCCGTAAAACAAGCTTCGAAGCTGGTGCGTATCGCTTTCCCTTGTCGGAGTCACCGGACAGTGTGGTGACAAAGTTGACATCGAATTTGCCTGATTGGCCGACGGCGCGACATGGCGAATCAGGATGGTGAATTTCCGGATTCTGCCCACTGGAGGCGGCCTTAGTCTCTCGGTCGCCTCTTCCTGGCTCTCCGGAACGCCGCGGCCCAAAGCATGTCCCACTCTTGCTTCGCAACGGACTGGACAGCCCTACTTGGGCTGAAGACTTGTGGGGTGCTGAGTTGAGGCGTTCAGACCGCCAGTCCGAGCAGGCAGGGGGTCCCTGCTTCCCTGAGCTTGCGCGCCCGACTTGGCTCTCATTGCAAGGCCCAGTTCCTCATGGTGGACCCAATATGCCAAGAAGCCAAGCGACATCTTCGCAACACTGTCATGCAAACATTGCCGACTCCGTGCACATGCCCAGGCAATGCAGACTCGCTTGGTGCGGGCTGCACATCAGTGCAGCCGACATGTGGTTTGCCAGGCAAAAGAGGAGCTGCTGCCGAAGATAACCGCCATTAACCGTGGCTAGTAGACACGCCTTTGATTTCGCCAGGTTGGGACTTCGAGATGGCGACTGGCACGCCTTCAGCGAGGAACGCAAGGCTTCAGCAGCAGTCTACCGTCCTGAGCAGCAAGATTGAGCCTCTTGTGCCTTTGTTCAGGTGATGACTTGATTCCTCTGGATGTCACTGACGATAAGGACTCGGAAATGCTGGCCCTGATTTTGGAATTCTGCCGCTGGTTTGCAGGATGCAGAGCTCGGCCGTCCCAAGACTATGCGCTTGATGACAGAACGGTATCCTTGATGGGTGTCAGCTGGGTCTTAGCAGCTTAGCAGAGTTTTACCGTGGATGCCAGGTACCTGGGAGTTCTCCGAGCTGGTGACAAGACATTAGAGCTGTTGGACCTAGACAATGGCGACTCCCTTACCCAAAGCTGCATTATGCTGCGGAGTTCGCTTGGCTTGGACTTGATCACTACTAACTATCTCGTTGAAAGGCGGAGCGACATCTGCGAAGCTGCAGCTTCAGACGAACATGCGTGGCTGCCCAGTGCTGTCATCAGACGCGGCATTGCCTTGGCCTTCTCCTCGTGGGACTTTGGGAGAAGCTTTCATTTCCTGCCGAAGGCACTTGGAAAGCTTCTGCACCACCGGAGATCACATGTACCTGCTGGGGTCCCGCCCGCACCCAAAGCTGTGCTGGCCTTATGAAGACTACGAAGCTCTGCTGGGATGGGGGCGGGAAAGGGGGCTTGGTGTCCTTGTCCCGTTTGACAAACGCAAGGTTGCGAGTTCCGCTCCGCACGGCCTTGGCCTTCGCTGCATGAGTGCCTTCACCCTGACCCTAACTTCGGCTGAAGCCAGAGCGAACTAAAGCCTCCGATCATCCTCAAGATCTCCATGTCGTAATAGTGTGACAAGCAAGACGATTTGACTGGGCATTGCTACAATGCAGACTTGGAGGAAAAAGAAGGCAGCATGGAAGTTGCCAGTGCTGAGGCGAAGAAAGGCTTGAGTCTTGAGTGCTCTGTCAGTTTCTTTGGTCTCCCGCTCTGTCTCAAGCTGAACCTCCTAGATACTCGCATCTTCCCCGACTTCGAACTGCCAGGCTTCCTTCGAGGGAGCCATGTTTGCAAGCACGATCCTGCTCTGCGCGCTTGCAGCCGGAGCAGTTGCTGCAGCTGGGCCCGCTGAGACGACCCATGATGGTTGCCCGGCTAGCGGCGCAGTCATGCTACAACGCAAGAAGGACAAGGATGTTGTTCGCCTGGAAAAAGCGAAGAGTAGAGAGAGTAAGAATCAGCGCTATGGTCGCATTTCGCGTCGAACTGCGGCCCCGACATCGGCGACTGCTTGGGTCGCATCGTCTTTCTCAGACTGTGTTCAATGCCCATCCGGATCCATGCAGATTCGCAGTGTGGAGTGCCTTCGGATCTTTGATGGTGCTGCTGAAGCGGAGAAGCAGTGTGCCGGCTATCCCAAACCTCCTGCAACGAAAGCCTGTGATTGTGCTGAATTGCCGTGCAACAGCAATTTGACGGACGCATGCTTGGAACCTGCCGGTTGCCCTGTGGATTCAGATTTGGACACCGATTTCTTGGAGCTGGGATGCTTCAATCGTGCTACGGGGCATGAGGCTCCAGGAGCTATCGGGGACCCCTATGACTACACCTGCATGACCTACTCAGGCGACGTTCCTTGTAAGAGTGGCGTGCCTTTCTACTCCATGAGATCAAACAGCATGACGCCAAGCTTATGCTATGAGTTCTGCACAGGCAAAGGCTTGGACATTTTTGCCTTGGTAGCTGGGGTAGAGTGTCGATGCGGTTCCTCGCAAGTAAACCAAAATGCCCGAGCTCACCGCATCGATTCTCGCCATTTGGACTTCAACCCATTGTTGCTCAGCCCGCATACTGACGATATGGATCTTTGCCCGCTTCGTGTTTTTCGCTATGCAGGGCATTACGAAGAGGGAGGTGTGCCGTATGGTCTGACGCAGCTTCTGGAGAGCGATTCGGAGTATCTGCGCAGCATCTTCTCTGGACACCTGGTCGAACATCTTGAGGATGTCCCAGACGGCCAGAAGGACCCCGCAACAACTCCAGAACCGGGACTCGCCCAAACTGGTGGACAGCAGACGCCAGAGGGCTACAACCGTGACTGTTGGCCTTCCAACTGTGGTCCAGGTCGTGGGCCGTGGCAGGACCGTGTGACTTCGCCCCCTGCTGGTGTTCATCAAAGGTATTACGAGTACGTTGTGATTCCATATCACTTCGAAGACGGACTAGATGATGTCAGAAAAGAGGCTTTCCGTGTGGCTGTCAGGCGTTGGCACAGACAGTCATGCATCGTCCTGGTGGAAAAGCACGCTGTGGACATCACCCGTCCATACATTAAGGTGGGCGAATATGACTCGGGTTCCTGCTATTTGTCAGGAATGGGCTGGCCGGGCTTTTGGAGAAGTGCGCCATATTACAGCAGGATTAACCTTGGCTGGTGTAATGACATGAGTGCCGTCGGGAGCATGGTTCATGAAATCGGCCATGCGATCGGAATGAATCATGAGCAAAAGCGTGCAGACGCAGCCCAAGAGTACAATGGACACGGGCCGCACTTGATCATGCACTGGGAAAACATTGAGTCAAATTGGCTATCCCAGTACGTTCCAGACTTCAAGTCCTACATCGGCTCCACTAACCAAGGCCTGGGTGATTTCGGGAAGTCACTGGAGCATGTCATGAAGCAAATACCCCAGCCCGGCAGCTTTGTAGTACAAGGATTGCCCAGGGCTGAACCGAGTTGTGCCGCTCTGCGTAAGTTATTTTTTAGTTCCATGTAGCACTGTCTGTGCTTGCAGGTGCTGACGACCCTTTCTCAGGCTATGCCCCCTACGACTACCAGAGCATCATGCATTATCCTTCAGGGAATGCGTACGATACAGACCCTCCGGAGAACGAAAACCTCATGGGCAACCGCAAACATCTCACTGCCGGTGACATCGAGCAAATTCTGGATGTGTACCAGTGTGTTGAGCTGCCGACCTGGACTGACCCTACTGCCTGCGACTTTGAGGATCACTGCTACTGGACAAACCAGGGAGAACTCACTTGGGCAGTCCAGACTGGGAGCACTCCCAGCAGGAACACTGGCCCAGATGCTGCAGCAGAGGGTGCCAACTACCTGTATGTTGAGGCAAGCGGAAGTGGCAATCCCTCAAAAACAGCCATCTACGAGAGCCCGGCCCTTGATCCCACTGCGAGCTACACTTTGACCTTCGTGTACCACATGCTGGGCAGTGCCATGGGCTCCTTGGATGTTGAAATGGCAGACACCCGCGGAACCTTCTCGTCTGTTTGGAGCCAGGCCGGCAGTCAGGGCAACAGTTGGCACCCGGTATCCTTGGACATCACTGCGGCTGTGGCGGTTCGATTTGTTGCGGTCACGGGTTCAGGTTGGAGTAGCGACATCGCAATCGACGATATCCAAATGACCTCAAGCAATCCACCACCGGCAACAACCGCCACAACGACAGCCATTGCAACGACAACCACCACAACGACAACCACCACAACGAC